ATACAAGTAAACACAAAATCCCCAATGTTGCTGGCTATAAAAAGTGAAGAACTGGGTTGACATGGGATTAAATGATTCAGTGCATCTCTTCAAAAACTTCCCCATGGTGATTCCTCCAGAGCCATCATGCAAAGGCAAAGCATTCTCTGGCCAGAAGTTGGAGCTGAACTGACCTATAGCGTTCTGGACTTTTTTCCAGGTGAATCATGGTAGTAGGAAAGAAGGAAAAATTCAAAGCAAATTATTTTTTTTCTTTATGGAAAAGGATGGAGTCCTGCTAAAAGCTTTTTGAGATTCATTTTCATATTTGAGTCGTTATTACTGTGAAAAAAGTTGTGCTGAGAAGCAGGGTCCACTGAAGTTAATCATTAGCCCCATGTACCTCTCTAATAGGACAGATGTGCTAATTAAGGAATCGACCTCCAAGTCTTCTGAGGAAAATGGACTTTGTTGATATGGTTTGGAATAATATAACAGTACTTCCCTTATGCTAGGAGCATTATTCATCTGCAGAGGCTTCACAGCACTCCTCTGAAGCTGGCTGCTAAAGACGGATCTTGCAACACCCATTTTATAGATGGGTACAAACCAAGCTCAAAGGGTACAAATGAACAGCCTGAGATCACTGAGAGCACAGCAAGAATGCTGCTTCTAAATTTTTCTTACTGATTTACAGCTCTTAATTTTACTACTAATGAATAGATCCCATGATTGGCTGTGAAATACTTTCAAATAGAGGGAAAAGATATATCTACACAGAAATGAAAAGAAAAATATATATTATTCCAGTGAGGATGTGGGATTTCTTTCTTGTTTAATATACAGGAGATGGAAATAAGAATATACAAACCTTCCTCTTGTACATGACTTTCCATAATAAACAGGGGTTTCTATTCTATGTTTCTGTATAAATTCTGTTTCCTTCTCTTTTACTTAGAAATCCATTCTCTCGTATAAACCTGGTATGTTTTTAGTTGGGTTTATTTAAAATAAAATAAATAATAAAAATAATTTGTTTTTCGTATCCGAATAAAGCATCTTGGTATTTAATTGAATATTATAAATAAAAAAATATATATTTAACTGCTTCAAAGTGCACACTTCCAAATCTATTTTGTTTAGTCTATGCTCAGAACTGGATTTTTTAGACAAAGGGTATAAATTTTCCTATGTTAATCTTATGTTAATTCTTCTATAATAAATTAGAACACAGGACAGAACATAGGAGAGAACAATAGAATGCGTCTCTTCTGTTTAGATTTTGGGTGAAGGTTTCTTTCAGAGACTTTTGGGTGACATCTAGTGGAGATTAAAAAAATTTTAAAAAGCATTTGACGGGTAAGAAAAAGAAACCATTTCAGAAAATAACTGAATGGTGTTTTCTTCACCCTATTTCAGTACTGAACTCTGGTAACAGAGTTCAAACATTATAACAAGTTCTAACTATGTTTTATTCACCCAAGCAATAGACACTCATGCCACAGACCTGGGATTTGTATTTTCAACTTTCTTCTTATCAGAATTAAAATACTATAACTTCAGTTAGACACCACAAAAATGATTACTAAATAACCTACACTTTTTTCCAAATAAAATTTATCCAAAAAACTCTTGAGTCATTGTTTTCGAGGTTTGTTCTTTTCCTAGGGGAAGTTACAATCTTCATACTCACTTTCACAATTAATCAGTCCAATATATACATCTAATTTCTTGTACTTCATTATACATTCCAGAAAGCACATGCCCTACTGTTTAACATTAAGTAAAAATAAATTTAAAATCTAAAAAAATTAAAATTTACAAGTTCCAAATATAATATTAATGTTACTATAATATTGTCTCACATTATATCAATATTATTTAAATTCTATTGTTTAATGTTACTACAAAATGTACAATTTTTTTTTATTACCAGGACAAAGTTATTTTGGGGACAGATTACCCTTTTCCACTTGGGGAACTGGAACCTGGAAAATTGATTGATTCAATGGATGATTTTGACCATAAACTGAAGGTATGATTTTTACATTTGAGGGGTTTTCCCTCCTTTTTAAGTCTCTGTTTGAGACGAACCACTGAAAAATCAGTGTAGTACACTGATTTCTGCAAAGACTGGAAGAGGCCCTTCGATTTCTTTGCAGTAGCCCTTTTTAAAGCACAAGTAAAAGCATTTGAGTTAAATATGAGCTAAGCACAAACATATATATGTGTTTTGTTTTTACAGGATAAACTCAAGGCTGGAAATGCTCTGGAATTTTTGGGTCTTAGCAGAAAACAATTTGAATAATTATGAAGTATTAAAGCAGCTTAACTTCAGAAATAATATCCTTATATTTCCATTGGCATGTGCAATTGTACTCATGAAAAATAAAATTGACAATTATCTGACAGTATCCTGTTATTTCCAAAACAAAAGCAAGGGTACTGGAAATGAGTACGCATAGGTATTGCCTGAGGATTTAGGCTGTTTGTAAACAATTCTGAAATCCCTGCTTTCATAATAAAGGAGAGATTTCATCTTTTACAGTTGTAATAAGAATCTCTGAATTATAATAAATGCCATGTTATTAGGACTTGATTCTCAGGAAGGAAAGAGCAGAGAAAATTATGTACCTACTACATTTCTGTCTTTGTTACGATGGACAAACAGAATTTGAAAGAATATTAAAACAGAATTTAAACAATGTTGATGCCCAATAAAAGGCACCATTTGCTTTTATCCACTGGTAGAAAAAGCAGCACACCACACTCAGCTCAGCACTGCAGGTGCACTTGTGCTTTGTCAATGTTGTAACAGGATGGAAAAGGTCTGTGTGGGGACTTTACATTTTAGCTGCCACCTACACCACTGGAACTTATTAATCAGAAACAATTTGAACAATATGGTTGTAGTGCAGAAATAATGTGTTTATGTGGGTAATACATGGTGTGCCATTGTCACTAGTAATAAATACCAGTGTTTGGCAATAGTGTGGGTTAATGTTCTGTTCCTTACAAAATGCTTACTAAAAGTAAGGATTTAAAGTATACTTTAAATGCTGAAGTGATAATGCTCCACCTAGCTTGAGTCCTGCTACAGGAATGGAAAGATGCTTTGCTTTATAGACAATTGATTGAATCAGGTTTTCATTATTATCCAGTGAGTGCACAGGCATCCTACCCCCAAGAGAATTTTGTAGCAGTCAGAAAAATGCAGATTAGCACTTACAGACCCTGTTCTCATGGGAACATTGGCTGGCTATGTGTGGTGTCACCATTCTTCTGCTCACTCGTGGAATGTTCCAGGCAAAACAGTATTAGACAGAAGTTGTTTTTAGCTCTGGCCATAGCTGTCACAGACTGAACCTGAAGGATGTTGAACATCAGCAGTTCCTGCTGATCCCAGCCTCCATTGGACAGCAAAGAAAGCTCTGTCCTTCTTTATGGTGTCAAACTCACAAAAAAAAAAAAAAAAAAAAAAAAAAAAAAAAAAAAAAGTGGCGTGTGAAGTAGTTGTAGCTGAAGGAGTCAGCAGTTCAGAGGTTTAGAATACCAAGTTTTTATGCAAGAGAGAAAGAAGAGCCAGGAAACAGCTCGAACAATATTTATTGTCCTCAGGTTCACGAGACTTCTGTTGACATTTTTTATTTAAATATCCACATGCAGGCATTGAGTTTTCAGCATGTATGATTTTTCAACCAGATTGTTTTAATTACATTTCAGAGTCAAAAGGCAATTTCATTCTCATACTTCTCTTCAGTATACATGAATCTCACAGATGTTTAAATGGATTTAAGAGGAAAATACATTGTGATCCCTCCAATACATTTTAATTTGATTAATTCTTAATTTTTTTATTAATGAAGCCAGTTAGGTTAGTGAAAATGCAATGTCACATCTTTGGGGACCAAGGTCTGGAACCTCTCCAATAGCAAGAACAGTATTTAATTACTTTAACCTGTGACTAAATGGGTGATTGCAGTACCCTGCATGGGAGATAATTAATGTGCATACCCTTCATAAATCATATTCATTATTCACTGTCATTATTTAATGATATTCTACCTGTTCCTGGTACGTTAAGATTTTTAAGACAGGGATATATATATATATAATCTTCCCTCCATCTTTTCATTTCATTAACAAAGCTAATGTAAAATTCTAATTGCAGTCAGATGAGAACGTTCTTAATACTCCTTCACCAATTACTGCAGGAATAAAGAATCTAAGTTTAACACCCAAACTCCACGAGATTTACACAGAGATTTAAACAATAAGATAAAACATTGTACCTCAATTGTTACAGACACAAAAATATGAAGTCGAAGATCAACTAATCACATGAGAAGTCTTTGAGGTTAAATTTCCTCTGCACATGCAGGATCTTAAAGATGATGTACATTTGGGAAGATCAGGCAATTCGTGTCTGTGCTGCATTTTACATCTGTGTATTTCATCAGTATTCTGTTGGGTCTAGTTCTAAGATTACAACCACTTGTATAAAATTGGCACTGAAGTTGTAAAAGAACTCATTGTGATGTAACTTCAGGCGAACGAAACCACTCCAGCATGGTTGTGGCACGTACTGAACATCTAACATTTTTATCTTTCACTTGATTAAGCATAAACGTGTCCAGTACGAGATTAAACATTTGAGCTATCGTATGACATAGGTTAGCACTTATGGGGTGGTCAGACGAAGGAATACGTCTTCCAGGGAAGTGGTGGAGTCAGCGTCCCTGGAGGTGTTCAAGGTGTTCCACCCTGGCACTGGGCGATGGGTTCACTGGTTTATAGGGGTTAGGGCTGACGGTGGAACGGGATGACCTCAGAGGTCCCTTCCAGGCTCCACAGCTCCATGACCGCCCGGTCCCGACCCCGACGAGCCCTCACCCCGCAGCCGCCACTGCCAGACCCTCACCCCCTGCAGGCCACGTGACCCGCCCGGCGCGCGGCCGCCCCGCCGCGAGACTCTATGGCGGAGGGCGCGCGCGAGCCCGGGAGCTCTCGCGAGAGCCGCGATGGAGGCGGCGGGAGGAGGCGCCGGAGTAGGAGGAGGTGTCATGGCGGCGGCGGGCGCGGGCTCCGTGGGGTCCGCGGCGCGGGGCGGCGGTGGCTCCTCGGCCGCTTCGCGCTGGTTCTTCAGCCGCGAGCAGCTGGAGAACACGCCCTCACGGCGCTGCGGCGTGGAGGCCGACAAGGAGCTCTCGTACCGGCAGCAGGCGGCCAACCTGATCCAAGATATGGGCCAGCGCCTCAACGTGTATCCGAGCGGGGCCGGGCGGGACGGGCATGAGGGCGGCGGGGGCCGCGTGTGGAGGGGCGGCGGGAAACCCTTTCCCTCGGGTGGGAGCCCTCCCCGGGACCCTTGCCGCTGCTCCGCAGCCCCGGCCGGCGCTCCCGCGGGATGGAGCCGTGGCCTGAGGCACAGAATGGGAGGAGGAGCCTGGCGAAGCCCCCGCGCCGCGCTCTTTGTCGGCGAGTGAGGGACTCGGCTCCCCACCTGCCCTCTCAGCCGCGTTTGTGGCCGTGGCTGCGGCTTGGGGTACTTCTAAAGTAAATCCCAGTTGCCGTTTCCCCCGAAACGCGCAACTTTTCTTTAGCCATTCTTTAATGTGATTTTTAAAAGGAAAAAAATAAAAAAAAATCGATTAGAGCAAGGCCAAACCCTCAAGTCCCTTACTGAAATAGTTGAACTGGAACAAAACAAAAGCACTTGGGAGAGTGTTTCAGTGTATGTCGCCCATTGAGGAGTTTTCATTCCGTGGGTGACTGTGGGGAGCCTGGCGTAGGAATCTCCACATGGTCTGCGAAGCAGATGGGAAGAATACGTGTTAATATCAGTTAAGGATGTGTTAATATCAGTTAAGTTCTGAAGTGTCACGTCCCTAATCCATTTTCAGCTAAAGCCAGTATGTTGAGAGCAGTGATTGATGTGGAAAGCGCATGGCTTTCAGTTCTTGTAGACAGTCTTCTTAATATGTAGTGTTTCCTTCATTTAATCTTTCAGATCTCAGCTTACGATAAATACTGCAATTGTTTACATGCACAGGTTTTATATGCATCATTCCTTCACAAAATTTAATCGAAATGTAAGTATGACTTTATGTTTGGTAATAACATAACCATAATTTTGGCAGTTGTGACTGAGAAGTGTTATATGCAGGAGTGTGAAGTGTGATTTGTTTTTAGGCATTCTAACTTCTTATCAGTGGTTTCGAAGCAGTAATGATACTTGTTTTCAACTTTGGATTACTTCAACTAGCGGCAATTAGATTTTATCTTCTGCCATCGAAATAAAAAGGCACCATCAGCAAGCACATTTCAGATGTGTGAAGAATACATTTAGATGTTTCAAATGTGGTTGGTGTTTATGTGCTGAAGATTGAAAGGCTAATGTGTAGGAACACACATTTTTCTTGGTTAAGTCAGTGGAAGTTCTGGCATGGTGTATCTGACAATGATAATGTGGTTATGTGATGTATCCATGTGGATTATGTAGCTGTTCCTGAGGCAGTGTAAATTCTTTCAGCTAGTCTAGTCTTAAGTGGTGTGATAAATCACATTAGACAAGAAAAATTTTTACATCTGATGACAAGTCATCTTGTTTTACCTAATAAGCTGGACATGTTGACTGTGTTGTTAAAAACAGAATATTTCAGTAAAAATTGTACCTATTATTGAGGAATATTGTAACAGGTATGGAACTGGAGATATCTTGGAAATGTCAGGCTTTTTTTTTTTTACTGTCCAGTAAAGGATGCAGTAGGTGGAAAAATAATAATATAGTAGCCTAGGTGTTCTTGGGGTTTGTTTGTTTTAAGGAAGAACAGTTAATAGTGATAGTGGTTTTTTATTAAATGTTAAGGATGAGTTTTCTTAGGTCTTGTAATGACAAAATAAACATATTGAGGCTGTGACAGATGTTAGGTCTAAGTCAAAGCAGACCTTTATCTACCAAGGGGTAGTCTCTTTCAAACCTAGCAGTGTCTGCAGTTGGGGCAGGTACACAGTGAGGTGCAAGGAGAGCCCACTCTTCCTTCTGTCATGCATTTGTTTATTGTTGGCTGGGTAAATGGGCATCTTCTTTGGTATCTATTTAGCTGGAAATGCATATTCATTTGTAGGTACATATCAGAAGTATGTATAAATATTTTTCATGCAAAATCTGAGCTAAACTCAAATTTCCAGCAGCTTGTTAGCAAAGCTGCAGTGTTCATTCATACAAGTTTCACTTTCTCCCTTCCTGCTGCTGTTCTGCCCACGTAGCAGTAACCTGGAGCTGGGGAGGCATCCAGAGTTTTCTGGGACTGTGAATGGCTTGTGGGCTTGATAAACTGGAGCTGCTTGGAGTGGAGAGATGGCTCAGTGTCGAGCTGCTGTGTTTATACCCAACATACCTGTTCTATCACCTGCTGGAGTACCCTTTATACTGTCAGCTGGTAATCTGGGCTAGATTTAGGCAGCAAGAAGCTGTGGCTGCTGTGTTGGAGTTTTCACTGGGTACTGGTAAATGGCAGTCACTTGGAACTGGCAGCACGGTAATGTTTGAATGTATAGTGCTCTTTATATGAAAACTGGCTTAAGTTAAATTAGGAGTCTTAAAATTCACAAGTAAGCTATGTAAGGGCAGAATGCCATGGAAACTGCAACAATTACAGGGGAGAGAAGTGTACTGTTTAATTAATTCTCAGGTAATAATGTTCAAAGTTAAAAGCAAGTGAACTCCAGGTTGTACATCAGTACTGATTCTTGCTGAACTCCTTTTTGTAATTATTAATGAGCAAAATGCCAGAGAATGGCTTTATGTATGTACTGATGGGCAAGAGCATTTTCTTTTTACAATTCTGTAGGGTTAAGAGGGTCTCAGTGAGGGGAGTCACTTTTAAAATACTCCCAAACCATCCATTAGGTCCTCTGTAGAGAAAGCAAAAGCCAAGAACTCTAATAAATAATCAATATCAAATCTCCAGAGTACTTGGCACACTAAACAATGCCAAGAATATTCATCTCTGCAAGAAGAAAGTAACCCTTAGAGAGGAATAGTAAGGTACTGGCAGTCTCAAAGGTAAGACCTAAATAAGCTATCCTACAGCATATGCAGTATATCTCTACTATTTCTTTGTTGTGTGCACGTGGTGCTGTTTATCCATGGCAGGAAGGAATCTGTATGCTGGGGCTAGAAAATTAGATGGCCATTAGTCAGAATGCCTTGTGATCTTCAGCTGAAAAAATGTGGCCTGTGTTGTTTTGTTTTATTGGTAGATTAATATTTTTAGTCTGGTAATAAGCACTTGCACATTTATCATCATGTTTAACTGCCAGGTTATACAAATATACATGTATGTCGTGTAGGTGACATGCTCTTAATTGTTAACAAACAGGGCTTGTACTGGAAGCTCAGTTGCTGAATAGATGTTACCTTAATTTTATGGGGTTTTTTTCTTCAATATAAGTTACTGCTAAACCATTTTACAGGCTTTCGGGAGTTTGAGTCATCTGTGAACAAGGAATAGAATTCCCAACAGTATCTCCAGTCTGTAGAGCCACAGGGGTGGAATGTACCAGCTGATGTAGTCTTGGATCATTGAGAATGTATTACATGTACTGCTCTAATGACCAAATATCCCTTTTTTTGTGAAGTTTCTGTGAGCTAGCAAGTTACTTATGAGTTGCTCTGGATTACCTACAGAGTACTTGCACAGAAGAAAGAAGAAAGAATTGAGGTTTTGATGTTGCAGTCAAGGCAGGCGAAGTCCTTGTAAGATTGCTGTGCCCCAGTGAGGATGGAAACTTGCTTTACTAATTCTGGGAAGCAGAATTGAATGCCCTGACTACTAATTTCCCTGGCTATGCAAATGACAGGAGCTACTGTGGATGTCCTCAGCACAAATTATTCTTTCTACATTGCTGACCAGGGCATAGGAACTTTGGGTTACTGAGTATAAAGTTAGTCTGTGCTAATATTGGGATGGGGAGGGAGCTTGCTGGCTTTTTATAGACAGTAGTAGCCTCCCTATTATACTTTAAAATATCTTCAAAAATAAAATTCTTTTGCAAATACTGTTTCTATAGTGCTTGGGTGTGTTACATTGTTGTATAGCAAATAGTTCTTTTAGATGCTCATTCCTCAGTACACTGATTTGAAGAACAGAAAGGGGGGAAAATGCTTCATATGCTGGCAATGAGAGGTAAGGCATCCAAATGGTAGCTGTAGTTTTTAAATATAATCCTTAGAAATTATGTGGAATACCAAACAGCCAGTTGAAAATAGTCTTGATGATGTCAAGGGGCTTTTGTGACATGCAGTGGAACTTATTGAAGACCCTAAAAAAGGCTGCATGAGGAATTCTTTTCCTTCAAGTGGAAGGTAGGTGAGTTATGTGGAGGGTGTTTTGTTTCCAGTCCTTCTGTATTCCCTTCCTTGTGCCTTGTCCAAATCACAGTATTAAAGAGATGACTTTGCAGTTTTGCAAAGTTCTTGAAACTTTCATAATACTCTTCAAGCGCCTGTGAGGCTGTTTTGGACACTTCAGTTCTGGTTTTAATATTGCAATTTAACATATTTACTGCTTTTATGCAATGTGAGCTCCTGGTTATAATAAAAAAAATTCCTCACAGCTCTTTGTGTTCAAACTTGAAACACAAAAAAACTCATAGACTGGAAACAATGTCTTAGGTTAAACTGGATCAAATCTAAAACCATACAAATATTGGCATTAGAAGGGAGAGGGAGATCTCAGAAAAATACACGCATGCTGCTGATGTGTTCTGAGATTTTTCTGAATGCCTTTGTCTTTACACTGCCTTGAACTTTTGAAGTGAAAAAGGACTTGTACCACAGTTCCAAATGAAACTTGCTGTATACTGGTTTTGGATTGTGTTAACAAGGCTCTTATGTTTTGGGGTTTTTTCCTGTTTCTGTGGGACTTGGTTTCCGAGATTCTCAGCTAGTAATAAAGTGGGATTTAATATCATATATCACATGTGTTCTGAAGATTTCTCAAAGTTTTTAAGACTATTTTGGGTGCATAGCATATAATTACTCTAAATTATTTTGGTTGATATCAAATTAAGATATTTATGTATAGGAAATGTATTACTGCTTTGTCAAGTACGTTTCTTTAATTTTGCTTTTTTTGTTCCACTTTGCTTGGGTTTTTTGCCATTTTTGGTAATTGGAAATGAATGAAAGCATTTGAGTAACTTTTCCACTTATACACTTAGCAGGGTGTGTTCACTAAAGCTACATTTGTGCCAAGTCTGGAATTTTACTTAGGATGTCTGTTTTTCTGAATCAATACCAAGGGAGCTAAAAATAATGGCCTACTCTAAACTGGGAGTGAGAACCCTTGTCCTAGATAAGACAGAGACCTGAAATTCTTTGGCCAGAAGCCAACATTTCTTTTTTTTATAAGGAAATAGTTAATTGGGCTGTAGATAGATTTCTGACAAACCAGAGTTAAATGACAGTTAATCAGCTTGACTTAATCAGCCGCCAGAGCTATGTTTTGTGTAAGGTCTTGGAGACCAGAATTGTGTGGAGACTTCCTGGCCAGATGTGATCTCCTTCAGTAAATCAGAAGAGATCCTGAAGTCAGCCTGATGGTGCTTTTTTGGAAAGACGTAAAGCTTTGGTGCAGTCAGACAGAGTAAGAGTGGGTGAGAATTTGCTGATGATTGAATTGTGCCGTCATTGGTGACTTGGTTCAGATAATGCCTCTGTGAAATGGAAATGTTTTCAGCCATGGCAGTTGTTGAAAATTGAGTTCTGTAAACTACCTTTATATGATGTGTGTGTGTTGGGTTATGCCTGTGTGTGCTGACATCATCTGCATTTTCTGCCACTTCAGAGCTGTTGATACTCTCACTTTCTGAACTCCAGAAAGTCTTTCCATCACATTTACTGTTTAAAAGTTTTATCTCCCAGTGTGAGACACGTTTCAAGTAGTATGTCCCTGGCAAAGAAAATTCCTTCCAGAATTTCAAATCATTACTTCAAGCAATGGGGATAGGAATCATCAGAAGTATTAAATGACAGTGCTAATATGGCCTTGTTCAGCAGCACTTCACTTTGGGTTTTTATTTCATTTGTTCATCAGGCTTAGGTTACAAGATTCTTAAAAAGAAAACAGGGATTCTTGTCTCCCTGGTAAAAGAATTTGCTCCCTGTGACTTGTTTTGGGTGGTTGGTTTTTATAGACTGAGATTTTTTGCTAGATTTCTCATGGCACACTTCTACTCATCAAAGGGTATTGCCTTACCAGGGTGTCAGTTTTCAAGTCTGCCAGCTTTAAAGTTTTACTTAAGATCCAAGCAGACATTTCAAAGTGATTCAAGGATGCAAAAAGTACTCTCAGTACATTTGAAAGCTTCTGAAATTTAATCCCTTAAATGCTTAATTAGTTTGTTGCAGTTTGGCATATATTGTAAATTTTTATACCAAATGTTTCATTTTGGCATAGAAAAGGGCTGCTTACTGGCAATAAAAGCAAATTTGACATTGGGGAGGCTATGCCTCCTATTTAGCCTAGTTCTGTTTAGGTATTGAATGAGAAATCCAATACCTGCACTGCTTGCACCATGCATTAATTAAATACTCAGGAAGCAGCTATTTCAGTCTCTCAGAATACATGCTTTATACTGGCTTAATTTTAACCATTTTGATCAGCTTATGTCTAGATGATTTCTAGTACCATTTTAATTCCTGGTTAACATGGGCAGCTTTTGCATGCAAAGAGACCCCAATGCATCAGTGATTTGTGGTTTGCTGTGTTCTGTCTGCACGCATCAGTTACTCTAGCTGACAACAGGCACCAAAATTCTACTTCACAGCTAACTCTTAGGTGATACTGAACTGCTACCTTATGACACCTAGAGTTTGATAAAAATTTTCATCTTTAAGTGTAATGTTTAGTCTTTACTAACATTTGATATAAGTGGTGTTTTACAAATTCTTATGCTTTGTTCTCCAAGTACTGCTGGGCATATAGTAAAGTTTCTAAGAATATATGGGTATATATAAATTTTCTTTTGCTTGTAGAGCTTATGTTTATATAGCAAGCTGTTTTTATTAAAGTTCTCTACAAAGTTTCTCACTCTTTGGGAGAATTAAATGCTAACAGAACTTGTGATCAGCTGTTTTAGTGAAAAGATGGTGTAGTGACTCGCTCTGTGCAAGAAATTGGATGAACTTTCTCACAAAGTATATTTAACTTGAAACAGCCTGTTCTACTGTGACTAAGTCTTCTGGGCCAAAATATTTTTTTTTTATGTTGAACTAGAATTAGTTTGACCTCAGACATCTTACTCACAAATATAATTTAACATTATGCTACTCCTTCCTTGCACTGCTGAAAGGATTGCATCAGTTACAAAATAAAACATGACTAGTTATGTTTTTGTTGCCTTGCATGACTTCGAAACTGGGGAAAAAAGCCACAAATCCAGCTTCTTAAACTTTTTCTATGCTAGTTTAGACTCCATAGAAATTCAAATCCTGCTTGTAAAAAGTTTAAAAATACACGTTTTTCTTCTCCAGATAATGTCTCCCACGGCATTGTTTTTGGCTGCAAAAGTGGAAGAACAGCCACGGAAACTTGAACATGTTATTAAAGTAGCAAATGCATGTCTTCATCCTCAAGAGCCACAACTGGATACAAAGAGTGATGTAGGTGGAAGTTATGGTTTCAAAGATACATGGTTTGAAATATGACATTTCGTCTAATGATTTGTTACATTGTCTTGCTGGATTATTGCTGTCTGGAGCCTATTAAAAAAAAAGCCTTTGTTTTTACACCACATAAGTCTTTCTATTACTTAATGCACTTTCTTAAAGACTCACTTATTTGTTATGAAACTTGAAGAGATTGCTCCATCTTGAAATTTTTAGGGCACCCACGTGACCTCCCAAAAATGCTTTGCTGGAATCGATTGTCTGATATCCAGACCAAGTTAATCTTCCAGCGAAAGGCAGGGAGGTGGACCTGAATTTGTAGCAGTGCTTGTACTGTTGGAAGAAAATGACCCCAGTGTGAAGTGTTGTGAACTGTCAGTGCTCACTGGCTGGGTACTGGTCTTGTGTGGCCAGTGCTGTACCAGAGGGAGTGTGTGAATGAAGTTCTGAGGCAATCGATGGCTGTGTCTTCACCTCTCTGTTTGTTTGTTTCAGGCATACCTTCAGCAAGCCCAAGAGCTGGTTATACTTGAAACAATAATGCTTCAAACTTTAGGTATGTCTTTCTAAATACCTCCTGTGCAGCTAACTTGCCATGAAGAAAGAGTTAATGGGACCCAAATAACTGGATTTTTGATGGGCTATTGGTAAACTAGAATTTAACTGTTTTCCTGTGTAACTTCTGACCTGTGAATTTAGTTTGGTGTTAGCAGTTCTGCTGTGTTCACTGCAGAGAAGAAAGGTGTGTCTGTACTTGTGAAAGAGATGTTTCTGACAGTTTGAGTTGAAATGTGTAGGCTTCCAAATAGGTTTTACTCTAAGTAGTAATTACATTGACATTTCTTCCCATAAAGTAACATGGTGTTGTAGGCTGTGGCTGTGTGTATAAACTGAAGCAGTTGGAAACAGCTTTGTATCCAATGCTCTTCCCCATTCTGCCTTTCTATAGCAGGATATTATGTAATTGAGCAGCTGCTGAGTTTGAACAACACAATTTGTAGTGTAACCATTTAATGGATTCAGATGATTCCAAGATTTGAAGTGGAATGTTCTGTCAAGGCACTCTTCTGACTAAAATACCACAGAGACAATTACAGCCAGAGGCCTGAGAACACTGACTTGCTCAGATATTCTTAAATACCACTTGGGGTATTGTTAAAAAAATAGCTCACAGTAGTGACCTAATTCTTAAAACAGTGTCATAAACCAAGAACTGTTTCTTAAGTCACCGATCTACAAATGGACTTAATTCTGATTTCATACATGCAACATGTTTAAGTGCTAGAAATTAAAGTATACATGCACACACATATTTCATTGTGTTTGCAGTACAGTTTTAACTGACAAATTTTTAACTTGGTAGAAATTGTTCAGATATATTCAGCTTTGAAAAGATAGTAATTTACCAATTCATGTGTGTACAGGATTTGAGATTACTGGAGGAATATTTTAGTAATGGATTACAAAGTGGCTTTACCATCTGCCATTCAAAAGTATGAATAGGTAAAAAAAAGGTACTTAAATTGTGTTACTTATTCTGCAGTTCAAAGGTTTAGCAAGTATTTTAGGTCTGCGGGGAAACTTCAGTTTGCTTTTTATTTTACAGATGCAAATGTATAATTCTAAAATGTTTTTGTAACTCCTCAGGTTTTGAGATTACCATTGAACATCCACACACAGATGTTGTGAAATGTACACAGTTAGTGAGAGGTCAGTGACTTTTAACCACTTCTGTAAGTCCTTTTTTAACTTTCTAGTAAAATTTGAAAATAATGTCTAATATGATTTTTCACCAACTATGTTATCCAATTATATTTAAAATTAATTATTAAAAGTTTGATCTTAACCTTTAGAGATTCATAGAGTCCAGTCCTCTGTCCTTCATAATTTTTTTGTTTTCTTATTAGCTTTGATTTTAATAGTACCTGTTCCGTGTGTTCTGGAATGACAGAAGCAGTTGCAAACTGATTGGTCAGATCCATAGTGTCATTCTGGGCTGATGACTTTGACTCTGAAGTAGTTTTACCCATTGATGGCTAATGCCAGCTTTTTGTCTTAGAAACTCTTCAAAGGTAATGGACTGAGGGATAAAGAGAGTGCACAGCAAGTTGGCTGTCACATGCAAATAGGTGTGACTAATTGTTTTTCTGGAGCAGTGTGTCCCTACTTGTTCTGGATGGTAGCACAAAACCCCAAGCCTTTAGTTAAACATATCCTGTACCTTGTATGCAGCTCACTAGTGTGACTGGCTAGAAACCTGTTTTGTTCTCTGTATTTTTTGTGGCATTTTGGCACATCTTTAATTCCTGAATTGGTTTCTTTTTGGAGCTTTAAAAAAAGATTAAAACACCCCCTTATAAGATGTAGGATGAAAAAAATTAGGAATCAGTTTTAAAAGCATCTAAAATAAGCTTTTCACTTTAATTATGTTTCTTAAGGAAAAAGTGTTGTGAAATGATTAGAAATGTTAGTCATTAGCTGGTTTTGCAGTGAAAAAGGCATAAGTGCTTCTAAGTTTTCGGTGTTTTTTCTTCTCCCTCTAAAAATATATGAAAGTTAGGTACAACCTAATCCTGTTAACTAGATTTGGTCTGTAGTAACTCTGGAATTAATGGTGTTCTTTTAAGGAAGAGTGTCTTATTGCTGTAGCTTCCTGGTGTAGTGTCTTCAGTTTTATTGCTATCCTTGATATGAGATAATGAATCTCTCTCTGCCCAGATTTGTTTGTGACTTGGTGCATGACTGCAGTTGCACCTGAAGTCTCAGTAGTCTGCACCAGCTGCTCTGTAGAGTTTTACTTTGGTTTTTCTTAGCTGTTGGTCACTGTAAATGTGAGCACATTTTACTGTTTTGGGGAGCCCCTGTGCTTCTGTTTGGTGTTTGGGGCTGTGGGGAGGGGTGGGGGCAATGTATCGCCTCAAGATTTCCACATCAGTGTGTGTCACTCAAGCTTACAGGCACACTGCTACACAAAGTGGATTTCCTTTCATCAAGGGTAGATACCACTCTGAGGCAGTTCAGCTTTTCCCTCTGTGTTTTGTAAGCTAATTTTTTGTACTGACAAAATTCATACTTTGAAGATACTGTGAATTTTTTAATTTGACATCTTTAAACTAATATTTAATTTTATTTAATAATTTAAAATATTCAGTGACACATTTAATGTCAGCAGGCTTGAAAAAATACTTAGAAGTCTAAAGTGATGTAAAGTCTTGAAATCTGAAGACTTCAGTGTGGGCTGAAAGCCCATGTAGCTCAAGGGCTGGTGCACAGTGAATGTAATGTCTGATGTTTGAAAACCTGCTCACTGAGGGAGGTGTGCTCCTTAGTGTGTGTGTATGGAATCCTTGGGAGCATGTGTCCCTAGGAATGGTGTAGACTGTGGGCACAAGATTTGAATACCTCATATTAAAATAAGAAAAAGGAGCCTAATTAATTAATTTGAAACATAAGGCATGAAATGTGAAGTCATGCGTGCAAGTCAAGCAAGGACAGAATAACTGCCATGGACCATTGGTTTTGTGTTGAGAGGACAAAGAGATGGGCCCATGGGCACAGTGATTATCTTCAATGACATGGTGGTAGTTTTCTACCCTGAACATTTATTTATTGGACAGTAGGTTTTCAATGTCAGTAGATGCAACACTCAGACATCTGAGACCTGAAGCTTTCGAAATTTACCTGAGATTTGTCAGTGTTAAACCTTTAGTGTTAGAGGGATTGACTGAGAGGTTAGAGAAATCCAAGGTTACTTCATCCAGTTCTGGTAATGTCATCTTGGACAAAAAGCACCATTTCAGAAGGCAGAGATACCTTTTTTGAATAAAAGTGATTAACTTATCCAAGCCTGTTGTGATTAAAACCTCCAACTGCATGTTTGGAGAGAGGAAGAAGGAAGGAATGTAATGTCTGACAGAGTATCAAAAAAGAGGCAGCAAAGTTAGCTGAGGTCTGCAAGTGTAGACTTAGGGGTTTGTGCACTGCATTGTCAGGTGGTGGGAAAGGGCCCTTTGGCTGACTAAACTGCAGTGCCTCAGAGGATGGCTGATTCTCTCCATCACTTTTTTGCTGTCTTGCATCCAGGGTAGTTTGTTTTATGCAGTCAGTATTACCTGTTATTAAGCTGTAAGCTATCCCCTTTAAAAATAAAATGAAAAAATAAAAACCCAGGTTGTGTTGATGATGCTCAAAAATTTCAGCCAAGTCCTTTGTCAGAAGACTGTCTAGTCTGGCAGTGGCACACCAGAATCAATTGCTGGAAGCTGAAGATGAACTAGTAAGTGGAAATTGGTGCAAATAAATAGAATTGCTTCAATATACAACTAAAGAAAAAAATGAGTTCTTCTGTAAGACTGAAAGCCTTTTTGAAGGTGTTATTAGACAACCCAGATCCTTGCAGAGAAGGGGTGACTGGATGGATAGATAATGATTCATGATGTTCAGGCATACAATATCTATTTACTCCCTCTGTGTTCAGAGACTCATGGGTTAATGAAATTGTTCCATCTTTGCAGTTTGGTCAGTATAGCAGACAAGGAAAATGGTGTGGGCTTAGTATTTTTTCTGCACCATTCTTCCTCAGTGTCAAGAGACTGAGAAGAGGAGACAGGACCATCATTCCTTAGGATCCCACAGGTCCAAGGAATCTGAAGGCAGTGGATATGTGAGGGCCTATCAACAAGCTTCAGTGCCCATTCCAAGAATACTCCAGTAGTGAAGAGAAGAAAGGAAAAAAGAAAAGGGGGGAAAACCCCACCAAAACACCAAAAACTGTTCTGGCTTTGAAACTTGCTGCCTTCAACATTAGCTGAATGATCAGCAGTGAAACTGCTCTGGTGCCAAGACTGTGGCACCGTCCTCTTAAACTGTGGTGCAGAATCAGTCTGTTCTCAGCCTGCTTCTGGTGAAACTTGGAATCTGTATCCTCATCTCCATCTTGGGAAGTCTTCAGTCACTCCTTTCTCTGTGTTGGAACACAGCCTTTTGGAACTGAAGATGAGATCTCAAGGATTTCTAGGATTGTTCTCGCTACACTGCAGGTTATCAGGTATCTTGAACACCCATTATCCTTACTAATCTTTTGTGGAAATTGCACTGTCAAATCCTTGAAATATCCCATAGTATCTGTATGCACATGCCATTGCTTAAATCGGGCTGAGAAAGACAAAGTCAGCAGAAGAGGAAGTGAAAAATGCATCAGCTTTTTCAGAGGCTATTCTCATGAGGAAAATTTAAATCTTAATGGTGTGGAAAGATGTGAAACACCAGCTGCACTCCAGCACTGCTACAGGCTGCCTTCCCATTCTGAACTTTGACCTCCAGGCTTTTATGGGCCTGTTCTCAAGCCTTCAGTACTTTCAAGAAAGTAAAGCCACCAGGACTGCTCAGACCTGAATGCCTACACCATGGCCTCCTCCAGCCCTTTCCAGATACAGCAGGCACCCTCCAGCATCCCTCTGCTCAGAGCCTGGGGCTTTTTGCTTTTGCCAGAAGGACTTCAGCAAGCTTCTCTCTTCTGATGCTGACTGGCTTATCTGCAATCTCCTCTTCCTGGGGAATGCTCACACCTTGTCAGGGTCCAGGCATAGCCAAATATCAGCTCCTAATGGGGACTTGGCAGTCACGTTTTCATGAGCATCCCAAGATCCAAGATAAGCTGTGTTGAAGAAAAGACTCAGGTATCTTGGAATTGCAAGCAGTTGAATTGTGTGGCTATGCCAAATAAAAAGCTTTTTGGTTTCCAGTTGGCAGTTTCTTGGAGACAGTCTTTCAGGAGGTGTGTAAGACAGCAAGTCCTGTTTCAAAATATTAATGACTGTTTCACTGATCCCTGTCTTATGGCTGCTTCTGCAGCAGTGAGACAGGATGGATGTTTTAAATCATTCCTGAATGCTAAAATCTAAACTGGTCATTCACGGCTGGTGTCGTAGCCATCAGTCCTGCGGCTTGTGAGTTTTAAGAGCAGCTCTGCTGGCTTGTTTTAGCCTCTGCTTCAAGACGATTTAAATTTTGGAGATGCACTTTCCACTACTATAATGGGAATAAACCACCAAAATATAGGAACCAAAATTCATTAGATTTAATTTCACTGATGGATTCTGCTAAACCAAAGCTGCCCTACATGGAACAGTTTGGGACAGATATTTTCAGTTGTGCCTTGTGTTATCAAAGGCTTTAGTTGTGAGCTGAAATTTCTTGTTGCTTTTGGCAGTAATTATTATTTAGCTGTAAATAAGTTGAAACAGAATCATACTACTTATAGTATCGATTTATTTAGCACAGTAATTTTTGATTACGGCTAAAATGTGTGTTTCAAGATGTGATTCTTTTCTTCCAGGTATGTGTTTTGATTTACTCATCTTTCAAGCTGATGTTAAATAGAAGTTTTCTGGCATCTGCTTTTCTTCCTTATTCAAAAGAGATATTTCAGTGAGAGTAGAGATGCTTCTTGATCTTGCTCCTTTAATTCAAACATGTAACTTTACAGAGCATATAAATCATTGAAGATCCTTTAGGCATTGCTTTGATGAAAAATGAAGAGCAAGACATCAATTTCAGTTTTACTCAACCGTTGTGTATTTTTATTTGTTATGACAGTCTCATCTCACCTTTTTTTTTTTTTGGTAATTCTACCTTATTTTATTTTGGTTCGGAAGGAGAGGTTGAACTCCTTAGTTTTTTGGCATGCAATTACCATTACAGCGTGCAAACTAAATATTATAGTATAACACATTGTCAGTTCACATTTTGATTATTATGGATTAGTAGAATTTGTGTGTAGGAACAGATCCTGTTACCTTGCAACTTCCACATTCTTCTCAGATTATGGCACTACCTAGCTGTGTAGCATAAAGAGAAATCTGAATTTTATTCCTTGGCAATTATTAGAAGTTTATTTAAATTCATGTTTTAATATGCTTTTTAAAAACTAAATTTTAAAAGCCACAGTACTATTTCTCAAACTTTATAGAAATATTATTATTAAAATTAAAGTTTAAAAGTATTGCCTTTGATATAAAATTCAACACTACGCTTTCTGCAGGTAGCAGTGATTTCAAGTGATAGTGTCAAAGTAAGAATTCAATGAAGGCTGCATTCAATCTGCGGTTAAGCCCCTTGTGCCCAGCTATTCCATTAAATGCATGTTACAGTAAGTTCTCTTACCTGAGTGAGGAGCATTGGGGTGTCACTCTAGGGGTCAGCACTCTGTGGCTGTAACAGCCCAAGTCAGTTTTTCATTTCTGGCATGTTGCAGTCCTGTGGTTTGTGTCAGTATTTTTTTTCTGACTAACTCAAATGAATTTGTCTGTTTCCTGTCGAAGCTTTGCTGTAGGTTTAACAAATAGAGAGCAAAATGTTATGACCACAGTGCTCTTAATTAGAAGGATCAGAAAACTGATTTTTTCCCCCCGCGTAGCTTGGGGGCTTGCTGTGTTCCAGGGCTTTGGGAGAGAGGTGGCTGTTTCCAGGGAGGTGGGAGGGTCTCCTGCCATGCCCCTCTCCAAGAGCAGGACGAGCACTGTGCTGGGAATTGGCTGGGACTGACTGCCTGCTGCACTCCCAGGTGAAAGCAGGGATCCCCTGCAGGTGAGGCTGGGGAAGCAGCGCTTCCCAGAGGAGAGTGCTCACCTGTCAGGGGTTGGAGGGATGCATCTGCATCAGCAGAGAGGAGCTGTCCTGTGGGCTGTGCAGGGGGAGGGAGTGGCACTGAAAGGAATGACAGCTCCAGCTCCAGTACTGAGTGTGTCTCAGAAAAGGTTATTTTAAAGGCTATTTAGCTAAAGCTAGATCAGTACTTTGGAAATACCCAGCAGTGATTTTTGGAAGGTAAAACTGCTTAAATTTTGGGATGAACCTGACAAGTTTGCGCAGATCTTTAATCTCCCTGTTTTTCTTTTCTTACAGCAAGCAAGGATTTGGCACAGACATCCTATTTCATGGCTACCAACAGGTTGTTATCCTGAACCTCTTTGTTGCACTGTTGTAGCACACTATAGCTTCCTTTACTGCAGGGCCCCCTGATGTGTCTTACCCTTGTTGCAGTGGGGGACTGGGCCACCTCCAGTGGTGGTACCTCCCCACCTGCAGTGCGGTGTATTGGACAAGGGCCTGACGGCACAAAGGGCTTAAATGCACAATGAGAAGTGTAGTGGTGCTTTCTGATGACTTTTTCTCGATTGTGAGTGCATAAGTCTAAAATTGGTAGCCTGAATAGCAGCTAAAGATTACAAAGAGATAAACTTAACCTAGAAATCCGAGCATCTTGGTAAGTACAAAACTATTTTTAGTTTACACTTGTAGTTAATGGCAGTTTTCTCTTAACTTTAAGTATATTAATCCAGTCTTAACTTATAAAATTCTAGTGGGCCTAAGGTATTTTCAACTAGATGATTTTTCTTTTTAGATAGACTAGTACTAGCCCAATGTTATTTGTTTTAGAAACAGCTCTTTAATCTTAATATATAGTTTTAAAACTTAAGTACTTAGATAAATTTATAGTTCTAGGATTTCAAGTGGGTGTTTTGTAGAATAGCCTGTCATAGAAAGAATTAGAGAGCAGACTTTAGTCTTGATTTCTTGATTACTTCAATTTTCCTCTTGCAAAACTACTTTAATCTTTATTTAAGAGGATTACATTATGTGTAGATACCATTTTTAAATGGTATCCACTGGTTATTAGAACTGTTCTAAATAAACAAATAAATCCTGGTGGTTCCTTGATGGGCAAGGTTCTGTACTTAAGCAGCTGTTAAGAGAAGTTATGCTAAAGCAGTGAAAGTGAACCAATGTATTTGTGGTGCTGGAAGCTGAAGACAAGGTCACAAATGCAGGCCTGGTGAAAGCAAAGCCCACAAATAACTCACCTGGCTACTGTGGAACTGCTGGGGGCCTTCTGATTGTCTCATTCAGAGACTGCACCATCAGCTCTATGCATTCTACTGCAGAATTTTAATTCACCATATTATACTGCCCTTTTAAGTACTTAAGTACAATAGATTAATTGGTAAATTTATTTACTGTTCATCAGGCTTTTAGTAGCAAAAACAAACTTTTCTACCAGATAAATGTCCTGCCCTTTGTTTTCTTCGGGCAGTAAGATATCTTAGGAACTTATTCAATAAAATGTTTAACTGCTGTTGATCGATAAGCTATCTTATTCTGTATGTTAATGGTTGATTTGTTTGGGTTTTCTGTTTTACATGTTTGATTTCCTTTGGTTCCTCGTTACGAAATTTGTGCAACAGCCTTCATCTTACCACATTCTGTCTTCAGTACAAGCCCACAGTGATAGCATGTGTGTGCATTCACTTGGCCTGCAAGTGGTCCAACTGGGAGATTCCAGTATCAACTGATGGAAAACATTGGTGGGAATATGTAGATCCCTCAGTTACTCTAGAACTACTAGATGGTAAGTCACGCTCCTATCTCATTTTGAGATTCAAGGATTTATTCATGTAAGGATGGAGCACAGTATGTAGTGAGAGCTTTCAGCTGAAATTAAGTCTCACTGACTGTGTGCTTTATCTTCAGTGAAAGAAAGGGATAGGAGCAGGGAGAACTTCAAAAGACAAACTTGGTTTGGCTGTTGGCTGGGGTGTCCATATATCTTTTGCCAGCCCAGGACAGAATCCTGATTTTAAATACTTTTCAGAACCAAGACAGAGATGGAAATGTGTCTGCAGTCCTGATTGTTTCAGGTACCTCAGTGTTGTTTCAGTGACAGTGTTGATAAGGCTGTACATAAAATTGCAATGCTTATGAAGGCAGTTCTGTGTTAACAATTTGGTGTAGCTTGTGGGATCTCAGACTCTTGGTAAGAGGAAAGCATATGCCTAGAACACTCTACACTTAGAATTTTACTGTCTTTTAAGATAGTATTTACTACAGTGGTGTCTGAATTTAAGGGCCAGATGTGCTACTGTAGTGGAGGTGGGATCTCATGGGGCTTTCAGATCTGTGTTGGACTTTGTTGGTCCTGGAGTGAAACATTTGTTTCACAGTAGTGGTGGAGATCTCCAGGCTTCAGACAGCCCAGCATTGACTGTGTGCCTGCTGCTTTCCTCTGCTCAGCTGTTCTTTCTTAATGACACTTTGGGGAGGGAGGGTTTGACAGTGAGAAATTGAGTAGATGTCATGTGAAGCACAGAACTAGAGTGAGCTTCAAAGCACAAGTTCAAACATCTCTGTCTTACTGGGCTTCTTTAAGCTGTAGCTGCAGTTCCAAACACAACCCTGGCTTCCTTCCCACCTGCCTGTGGGTTTGTGGCATGGTTTGGATTTGTAAAATCCCCTATGGGAATGCTGTGAGCTCCTTGTGAACATCATTTAATCCTTCAAGCATTTATGGAGCTGGGGTGTTTAATAGACCTGGGTAGACCAAAGAACTGAGATAGTTTTGCACTTGGGAGCAGGTTAGGTTATAACTTGTGTATGGAATTCTGGAGAATCCAGTTCTTCCAGGTCTGTAAAAGATGTACTTTGCATTCAGATTCTCACTGTACCCAGTTATTTTTAGCTTATGACTAGAATTAAGTCTCAATGAAAAGTATTTTTATTTGCAGCTGATAAGCATGGAGGAGACCTGTGTTTTCCTGTGGGCTTACTAATTGTAAGGATCTTTGTTTTACTAACACAGCCAGCTACTCCACCTTGAACATAAATTATTTCAGAGCTTTTGTTTGAAACAGAATCATTCCAAGGGTCTGATGGCTGTGGTTTGTACAGAGCTGATACTGGTTGTTCCTGAAGTTTGATGGAACAACCATCAACTGAAACAGTGACTTAGAAATTTTTACTTTCAAGGAAACTTAACTCCATACAGAAAATGTACACGCTGAATGGCAAGTATGTTATTTTAGAAACCGTTGTTTCTATAGTTCTTGGTGTAACAAATCCAGGTTGTGCAAGATTAAAAACAAAATAATATATTTTTTCAAAATGTGTCCAGTGGTCAGAAGTCCGTCCCAGTGGAATACTGTAGACTTTTTTTGTTCGACACTTGCCTAACAAT